TTAAAGAGGCATTAAGTTTCTTCTTGAAGAATACTTGTTTAATATAGTATTGTAAATCATTGCTAAGTATTTAAAGATCTGGGTCTAAGGTTGCTGACTTGGTTATGATTAAATAGAGATTTGTTCTATATGGTTTAATGTGTCAGGGTTGGTTGGCATGGCCCAGTAAACCCCTGCTGGTAGACGCTGGAACTACACCATCTTGTAGACTAAAACAAATATCTTTTTCCATTGATGGTTGTTCAAAAGTGACCATATGTTCTGTTGCCTCAATCAGTAACAGGTGGCGTTTTGTATGAAGGGATCTTCTAAGGATACTGGTGTCAGTTTGCCTTCCAAAGCACCATAATGTGATGCCTAATGATCTGAAACCAAATCAAATGAGTTTTAGAGAAAAGCGAGTAAATATTTGCTGGCTAAAATTCTTATTTCTTGACAGAAAATGAATCATCAGTTATAATGTTTTTTCTTTTAACCGCTCCTTCAGACATATTTTTTATTCTTTCAGCCAGCCACCCAAAGGCCAAGCTTCGCAGTGTTTTAATATTCTGTGAGTGTAGCTATAAAGCTGTACTTGTATCTCTAGATTATCTAACATGACTTTTGCTGTGCTTCTCACATGTTGGCTCATATCTCTGTTATAAGATGAAGATTTGTATAGTCCAGTGTTTTTGGTGACATTTAGTTGACATTTGCTCTCCCTGTTTTCAGTTTTCTTTACGCCCCCACGGTTGATTTATATGCTGGTTTTAAGGTAGTAGGTTGTATAGTGGTATTGGGTTAAAGGGTGCATATACTGGGGGGAAATAATAGATTAACTAAAAGGGATACAGCTTCTATTATATTTGCCTATTGAGTTTAAAACATATTAAGAGAATTTGAGAGGAAAGTAAGAGTGTAATTTCAAAATGAATATTATTTTTAGGAATTCAGAGTATATTGGTACAACATTGGTTATTGACCATGTTTTTTAAATTATCGGTTTTGGTTGACATTGGATATTTAAATGTGCATGCTAATTTTTTATTTTTATATTTGGATAACCTTTTCCATGATCTAAAGCTCATTTAAAGTAAATCTAATAACTAATTTAACACTGTTAAATCTCAAAATTGAACATCCACCTTTCATACTGTACATTTATCATCTTGCGATGCCTAAATTCACATTTACAATGATTCATTTTAGCTATTTTGCTACTCTAATATTTTGTCTATATATATTATTTTTTATATATAAATGTATTTTTTAAATTTTATTATAATTTTTTTATTTAGACAAAATATTATATGATTATGATAACGGTAATGTATTGGTATTGGCATAATTTTAATATTTGTGTATCCCTATTGGCTTAAGATGTACATGACATCTATATTTCTAGATGTAAATAAGTCGGTCTCGAAGGATACTAACTTCATGAACATGAACTAACTTCTTGGCTTAAACGTTCTCTACATGCATTGATTTTACTTTTTGATGTCGACTGGAAGTTTTTCTCCTCCTGCTTAGAAGAGATAGTAAAGGACTGGGCTGGTGCTGGTAACAGGTGTATAATAGGTTAGATAGTATGAGCTCTCAGCTGTAGAATAGTTCATATTTCCTCTATCGTGAGCATATGTGCTGCTTCAAAGGACAAGAGATTCTGCCTACTGAAACGAATCCCCCCTATCAGGGAGAAAAACATGGCAGAGGTTTCACAGATCATTTTCCAGCCTGAATCTGATAAGATGTTGACTAACCATGATTTCCTGTAACAGTCAGCAAAAACATGAGAGACATTAGACATGGACACAGAATACAGAAAACACGGCGGTTTACTGAGCGGTTCCAGCAGCTCGTTGAAGCTCGCGGAGGAACGCGTCTGTCCTGGTTTCGGAGCTGCTGTCATTTACATGCCTTTCATCTTCAAACCCCACATGCTCCAGGGGGAAATGCTTCACTTGAAGATGCGGTTCAATAATTCAGAGACACAAAAGGGATCTGCGCTCTTTAAGACTTAGAACCAGGGATGCTGATTGAGACAAGTTTAGGGCGACTTGCTGGCTGTAAGTGGTTTGCCACCTGCTCTCTTTTTAATTTGCCGTGTGCAGAAGGAGTAGAAAGTGGAAAAAGACAAAAGGAAACTAAAGAAAAGAACAGGACAGTGATTCTTGAGACATGGGGCAAACTTTTACGGGCCATTATTATTATTATTATTATTATTATTACTAAATAACAACATTTCTGCTTTGAAATTATTTTATCAACATTTTAAGAATATTCTTTTCACTCTCTTCCCCTAGCAGATTGTAAAAAAACAAATAGAAACAAATTTCATTTAAAAATTGCTAGTAAATTTCACAATTATTTACAAAGAAATGGCATGCTGTCATTTACATGCCTTTCATCTTCAAACCCCACATGCTCCAGGGGGAAATGCTTCACTTGAAGATGCGGTTCAATAATTCAGAGACACGAAAGGGATCTGCGCTCTTTAAGACTTAGAACCAGGGATGCTGATTGAGACAAGTTTAGGGCGACTTGCTGGCTGTAAGTGGTTTGCCACCTGCTCTCTTTTTAATTTGCCATGTGCAGAAGGAGTAGAAAGTGGAAAAAGACAAAAGGAAACTAAAGAAAAGAACAGGACAGTGATTCTTGAGACATGGGGCAAACTTTTACGGGCCATTATTATTATTATTATTATTATTATTACTAAATAACAACATTTCTGCTTTGAAATTATTTTATCAACATTTTAAGAATATTCTTTTCACTCTCTTCCCCTAGCAGATTGTAAAAAAACAAATAGAAACAAATTTCATTTAAAAATTGCTAGTAAATTTCACAATTATTTACAAAGAAATGGCAAGTAACACATTGAATTAAACATGAAATTTGAAAGTAGAAAGACTGAAAAAAACTGTTATAAGAAAAAAGAAGTAATGTGTCTTTATTATATATTACACAGAAAGAAGTGGTATATATTTTAATTATAAAAATATTATGTCTTTCAAAATAATTCACATCATAATTGTCACAACTCTCAGATTTTATATATTTATTTATTTAAAGATGTTATGCTTATAGTTAAATGCTTATATTTGTTGCATAAACACCATGTTATGTCAACTCCATCACACAATTATGGAAAATGTTTGCGATGGAAATGTTTCCCTTTAATTTTAAGTAAGATAATTATCAGAAAAATACAAACTCTGCTGCATTTAATACTTGACATCATTCTGAAACCATCATTCAGTTCATTTATTATTTGAAGTGAATGGTATGTGTCTATATTTAATACATTTGGTGCATTATTGTTTTTATTTTTTATTTATTTTTTTGTATCTGACAGTGTTGCGGTATTTTCAGGAGTTTGCACCCAAACATGGTGAACACCACGAAACATGATGAACAGATTAATCCAAAATAGTTCCTTAATACATTAACTTTTCCAGTTTTGCCGCCTGTTTTTCTTAGTACTAAAGATGCAGTGAGAATGAATCATCAGCAGCCTTTATTCGACTTTAAGTAAACAGAAGTAAAGAGCTCCATTCCCCCTTCTTTTAATTTCAGTGTAGGTGTACAAGCATTGAAATTCAACTACTGGAAAAAGTATGAAGTAACACTGTAATTAATGGTTGCAGCTCACAATTTCCATTGTCAAATTTGTATTTGTTAATGAACCATTCACAGTTTGCAAGGTGACAGCTGTAATCACCCCATATTCTACGAGGTGAAGCTGTAATTACCCTGTGCTGTCCACACGTTACTATTGCCTGTATTTACATCAGCAACACAATGTAGAAGTATGGCACAACCTTAACACCCATCTGTCTGAAATGTATTGGATTTATTCTTCCTGTGTGGAATGGCTGACAGATAACTACTGCCCACTCCTCTGTAATTTACAGACATTAACCACATTCACAAGGGCCTGGCAGTGGCAGTACGAAACGCTTTAAGCAACTCCTTAATTTACTTCATTGCATGTCTAACATGAATATTTGTATATAAAAGATGCATTTAAAAGAGAAATACATTTGCATTTCAATATTTCTTTTGAAATAGACGTTGACAGATATTTAAATATTTGAAGTTGACAGACATGTGATGTTTCTTTTCGGGAATTAACATCATGCAAAGCTAATTCCTAGTCTATTTACCATCCAGCAGACTTTAAAATACATGTGGGAGGTTTTTCAAAAAGTCACTTGAGTAACAGTTTATTTTCCCGCAGTGCTAGTATATCCCAAGGGATTAAAAGGAAAAGGAAAATTCGCTTAAATTTTACTCACACTCAGGCTGCTTCATCAGAACAGAGTTGGAGAAATTTTTAAAACATTACAATAATCCACAAGCAATTGTTATGACTCCAGTTCATTCATTATCGTCTTGTGAAGTGTTTGCAATAATAAACAAACCCATCAGTAAAGGTCCATACATTACATGGCTTTTGAAATTGATTTTAAAGGTTTAAAAATGCTGGGCATCATACACTTACCAACTTTGTAAACAGGCACAGAGAATAAACTAAACGACTGAGGATCATAAGCCGCCTTTCCGCTGTCTCCGACATTTGGATACATTTGGATCCGACATTTTTAGTTTCAGACTTTGATTCCATCCAGTCGGAGGATATAACATGTTTGATATTTTCAGCTGATTTTAGAACACATACTGTTTTCATTTGTCATGCACCTCCTAGCGTTAAGGCACATGTTTCTGAGTGAGTTTGTTGTTATTGGAACAACTTTAAAGTCTGGTAGTGTATAATCCTCAGTCCTTTATTAGTGTATGACGGTCAGTTTTTCCTCTGTGACTTTACGTATTTTGCTAGGCATCATACACTTACCAACTTTGTATACAATCACAAAGGAAAAACTTGGCATCATACACTAAACCAGTGGTTCCCAACCCTGGTCCTGGAGGCACCCCAACACTGCGCGTTTTGCATGTCTCCTTAATCAAACACACCTGATTCAGGTCATCAGCTCATTAGTAGAGACTCCAAGACAGGGATGTCAAACTGAATTCCTGGAGGGCCGGAGTCCTGCAGACTTTAGATTCAACCCTACTCCAACACACTACTATGTACGACTGAGGGTCATACACTACCAGACTTTAAAGTTATTCCGATCACAACAAACTCACGCAGTGTTGAAAACAATATGTGTTCTAAAATAGGCTTAAAATATCAAACATGTTTGATTGATGGGATCATAGTCTGAAGCTAAAAAATCAGAGACACGGAAGTAAGCCTATGGGTGAGACTTCCGGTTCATTAGCCGCTATAGGGAAGTAACGAGAAGAATAACAACGTGCAGTAAACGGTAAAACTGTTCGCACTACAAACCGGTGTGTTCATAATTAAGATAATACATTAAAATAATATGGTAAGACACACCCATTTTCAATATCAAGCTGCAAAAGGATCGGATCTGTACAGATAAAAATAGCTGGACGCGGATGAGACAGGAAACTAGACCCATAGAATTTACAAATGGCCGCACCCAATTTTACGGCAAGAAAAAGGTGGATACACTACGCAATTTTCTATAAAAATCTGTCAACTCAAACAGTAAATTAGGAAAAATATCTGGGCAAAAGTCGTGAGCTAAAATATGAATCCTCTATCCATAATAAATAATAAGTGGGCTAAAATATGAGTCCTCTATCCATAATATAGTTTTCTCCAATGAGTTGTTTTGTCTGAATCTGGAGAGACATTTGTGCAGATCACTGTTTATAAGTGAAACTGTGTTGTGATGTTTTTAATAAACTGTTTGGGCTCTTATTCTGATGGCACACATTCACTGAAGAGGACCAATTGGTGAGCAAGTGAGATAATGCTAAAATTAAATAAGTAATTAATTAACAAGTAATTCAGAATTTTGAAATATGTGGATGCATTTTTGTACCTTGCATGGAAAATCTTGTAAGCAAAGCTCAGTGTGTTCTGGAGATATTAGCTGTATTCTGTAGCTCTGGGAATAATGAAGATAATCAGAGCTGTACAGTTGGAAGGAGAGGATTTGCGATGTAATGGCGTGTGTATTAATATGAAATGCATATGAATGAGGTTATTTTTGTTCTGACTCTAAATGCTTTTTGTTGTTTTGTTAATTTTCCACTTCAGTTCATAGTGGAGCTGATGAAAAATGCATTAGGATTACACCTTTGTCATCCAGTTTACTTTGTATTTAGTCAAAAGGAAAATATAAGATTAAGAGACCTTTCGGCTTGAGTTGACTTGAGGCCTGTTAAGGCTGCAGATGTGATGCAGTGTTTTCGAATTTTGTCCTGTCCACCAGTGTGGACACTTTTCTAAAATGATTCAGACTGATGCTTAGCTGAAGTCAATCAGGGCGGCTGGTGGAGAGGACAGGGAGCACATTCTTGGCCTCTGTTTAAGGTGCCCACAGAGTTTCACTGAGGGTGCAATCAACCTTCATTAGGAATCCCATCCATTCTTTCTAATTGTGATTTGTTTTTTGCAATTCTGGCTCTTGAATTGTTCATTATAAAGCATATAAAAGAAGCCAAACTTGCATATCTATTAACGGCATGAAAAAACAATGAATTGCTTGCGAACAGCAAAATCCAGGACCTTCAGTGACTCCAAATATTTTTCAGGAGAACTAGAAGACTTGCTGATGAGGCTTCACATGTGATGTTTGTTGTTGCAGTTCTCATTATCTCCAGGGTGGTGGTGGATTTTTTATTTTTTTTTTTGGCCCATCCAATTAAAGCGAAAACTAATAAATCTTGGCCTCTGTTTAAGGTGCCCACAGAGTTTCACTGAGGGTGCAATCAACCTTCATTAGGAATTCCATCCATTCTTTCTAATTGTGATTTGTTTTTTGTTTTTTGACCCAATGAGAAGAAAAAGTCAGCATATTAGCGGGTATACTGATGTCTAGCAAATGTGTACAAGGAAGTTCATGTCTATTTAATAGGAAATACAGTAAAAACAGAAAAATTATTACAGTTTAAAATGTTTTCTATTCTAATATATTTTAAAATGCTATTTATTCATATGATAGCAAAGCTGGATTTTCAGCATCATTACTCCAGTCGTCAATGTCACATGATCCTTCAGAAATCATTCTTTTTTGATGTTTTTATTAATTTCATTAATGTTAATTTTTCAGTTCAGCTAATTTCACAGCTTTCAGTTTAACTAATTGATATGCTGCTATTG